TTGTTTGATTGTTTGATTGTTTGATTGTTTGATTGTTTGATTGTTTGATTGTTTGATTCTGTCCCTGCAGAAGCGTCGCACTTTTTGTCGGATGACTTTCCCTGATTGACAACAGCAATGCAATTTTGGCGATAATATATAATAAGATAATATACACAAGTAGCGTGTGTGACAAATTTAACTGGCGTAAATAGTGAAATCGACCGAGAAAGGTTTAGAATTTACTTGGAATGGGCTGGAGTGGTCAGTTGTGAAGGTCGTTTAATGACTTACAAAGTAGTAATATATTCTAACCCGACTCCATCACTCCAAGCGTCCCATTGGCCCATGTTGATCAAGATATGGAAGAGCCAATAGGGCCGAGCAATTATGTCATAGACAACAGTCTGTCTACAATTCTTAAAGCTACATATAAGCGGTAGGACAGGCTAATATTTGTTCAAGACTTCTCTTGCGATTGCTCGACTGTTTATAATTTCCTTTGTTCATCGATATTTTGAAATTAATGGAGATTTACTTTTTTTTAAAACGAGTGAGCAAGAAGGGTCGTTGTAAAACACGCAAAGGGCGGTTAATTCACACAGGACGCCACGCCTCATGTGAATACTGTGGGCCGATTTGGAATAAAATCCTTCCTTCGCCCTCATTTTATGACATAAGCAGCGTCAGTAGATTCTTCCTCTAACGAGAGAATAACGTTGGAAGCACTGCCCTTGGCCAGAACTGCAGTCGTGTTGACTAGCAGAACTGACGGTGGGTATTCACCATGAACAATACACGCCGTAACCCCTGCAAGGGAGGCTAAGGGTGTACTGACACTTGCCCAAGGTGAGCACCCAGACTAGTGGAGGAAAGTAGGCGTCTTACTTCTCCGTTCTAGACCGGCTCCAAGCAAAGTCTAGCCACTGCCCCAAATAAGGCTAAATAGAATTCACTCTCTTTTAAAGACAAAAAAGGTAGCGCATCCTGGAGACATCTTGTGCACAAGTAATTATCATAAGAATGGCAATGTTGATGTGGCACTAGATATTACTTTTTTTGAGCTACTTAGACACCTGAGATGAGTGACAGAGGAAGATAATTAGATAGTCTGGCTCAGGAGATGATACAACTGGTTATTTTAAGGTAAGGACTGAGGCATTCCACAGGGCATAGCTTTCTACTTTTTTCGAAGCGAGCAAAGAATTAGCCTTCAAAGCAGGCGTTCTTGTAAGTTTGGGGAAACTTTGGAAATTTGCATATCAAACATATTAAGTGTCGTATTTCTCTGTGTTTGTTGTCTGCGAGGCAGACCCACGAGTTACCATCGTCCCCGTATCCTTCCTCTTTTTTTTTGTCTTTTTTTCTTTTCTTTTCTTCTTCAAAAATCTTCATGTCGAATTCGTTATAAAATGACGGACTTTTTGTTTGCCGCTTTTCCGCACAATTTAAATATGGAGTGAGCTTTCTCTACTCCATCTTCGACACTAACATACAGAGTAAAGCTTGATATGGGAACGAGCGAGGACTGAAACCGCAAGGCCCCATTTTTCTCGCGGGAACGTAGTCGAAACAGAAACCCATCAGAAGAACGCCTGCTCTGCAGGCTAGCAAAGACGTGCGTCAGCGGGCTTTTCCGGGGCTCCTGGTTTAGGTGATGACAGTGAGAATGCTACGCCTTCGCTCGTTAAAACGTACATGAACGTGTATATAAAATTACGAAAGTTACAATAAGTCAGGTAATAATACGGTTTCGAAGTCAATTTGGGATTAACTTGTACGAGTGCATGTGATTTTCAAAGAATTTTTTTTATTTATTTTAAACCAAAATTTGGATATATATATGTTGATCGTAAAAAGTTTTTTAACGTTAAGTAAATCTGAATCAATATGAATGAAGAAACTTGCATTGGCTGACTTTTGCAGCTAACTGGAGATGTATATTGAAAAAAATCATACCTAAAAGTTGTTGAACATTTTCAGAAGCTAGACTTAGCGACTCAGTTTTGTGATCTTGTAGGCCAAGCTTTTGTGTCGGCACTTACCACAAAGACCCGCTCCAGTATTTTCTTTAGATCGGTTGGCTCATTTAATCTCTCAATTCATGTTATAGTTTGTTTTCTTCTCACAATTTCTTCCATATATTCAGCCATAACGATGTACTTTTAGTTGTGTTTTCTTTTTTGAACTGTTTTTTTAGTTGTTTGATTAGTAAAATCCGTAAAAATCTTTGCTTACCTAAGATAAAATGGCTGCCATTTTCCCTCTCGATTTGGTAAATTTCCCTCTTATTTTTCGTCATAAAAATCTGTCATCTTATTGGCTAAAACCATTTTCTATTGTTTATCATCCAATCGAAAGCGAGAAATCCGTTTGTAATTTGCACTTGTGTTACATTTTTCTGCACTGAATCACACTTTTTTGCACTGTATTACGTTTTTACAACACTAATAGATATAATAAAAGTTACAATACATATCTAGGATATAAAAATATAAATATAAACCCCTATTAAATCGAAGGTAAATAAATAAACAACTAATATATTTACTCATAAATATAAAATTACTTATTTCCCTTCCCTTATCCTGAAGCCACTTATATAATAAATTACTAAATGTGACCTTCCCCTAAACCAGTCTTATCCCAACAAAATCTAAAATATTTAACAATTAATAAATGAGAGTAAAATTATGTTTGTATGTATGTCCCCATCCAACCCTATATCCCAATGACACGTGTGAAAAACGTCTGCGCATGCTCTGAAATTTGACTTTCAAACATGCCTGATAAATTGGACTTTACAAAATGCTAAAACTTAGTGTCCATGCTTGAAACTTAAGACTAATTCTTTCATATTGTGTTTGTTAATACAGTATCTTGGTCGGACAAAAGTATACTCTCGAACTTTTTTGTATACTTGGAGAAAACAAACATTTATTTTCTCACTCAAACTCTTCAAATTTTTTAGAAAACGTGCTGAAATGCACGCATGCGCAAACGTTTTTCTCTAGTGTCTATCCCAATGTCATAAACTGCCACGACATAACATGTGTAACATAACTGATATATAATGATAATGTATGGACTATAAAATATATGTAAAACTATGAGAATTTATGCGCATATGGTCCTCTCCTCCTCCTCCTCCTCCTTCTTCTGCTGTTTCTATTGTCCTTCAATATGTTTCTATCTGTACTTTTTATCATATCTTTCTTCTTAACTTAAAGTCTCAGAGCTGCGCCCCACCACATGGATCAGCAATTGCTCAGCAAAATTCACACAAACGAGACCACGTATTTTCTCTTTATAGTTTACTAGTAATGGTAGTACAGCCTTCACAGGAAACCTCGACTATATTTGCGGTTTTCTTGTTTTGACATGTAAGACGAGGCGCGCGTGACGGGTCTGGCTTGAATTATCAACATAACAGTACCCTGACATCGATGTGATGTTTTGTAGTGCTTTGTCACTGTTGAATAATTTGTTCAGCAAGCTCTACGGGTTATAGGCCATTAGACGACCAATCATAACGGAAGGCATAGCTTTGCTTGGGGGAGCTTTTCGTATCTTGACAAATGTTAACAAAGTCTCAGTGTTTCTGATTTTGAAACACTCTGAAGTGGTTTGTTATCGGAGCCTTTTACGCTTCATTTAACTAAGAACCCATCACATGTCAAAGTCTTCGCGTCAAGAGTTCATACGGACGACTCGCAGGAAAGAAATGGCACAAAGTTGTTCAGTGTTGGGCTTGTTTAACATCTGAGTCATTGAAGATGGACTCTGGAACGATACGAGTTAACAAAAGGCTCATCGTTCGAGCGAATCCAGAAGTGAATCAACGAAAATTAGTGGTGAGACACGTTAAGCCTTGTGATGATGTTCACCCTGTGGGTTTTCGAGTTCAGTCCAAGATAGTATCATCAGCACCAGAACAACAGCAAAAGGTTGTACAAGTTAGTGTACCAAGACAGGACTTGCGAGCTGCTCAGTTTGGAAAACCACAACAAAACTATCGTGGCCCTAAATACAGCATCAATGTACCCTTGATCCAACTGAACATCACTAACAAAGGGATAGAGGTGAGTTCTGAAGAATTAATGTGACTTAGTGTTGCTTCAAAAGGCTTCAAAAGATAAGATAAGATATATTGACTTGAATAGATCCTGATAAATTGTTCCAAAATGAAAAACGACTTTATATATTTCTTCCTGTAACGAATCCTTATAAATGTTTTTAGCAGAAACTCGAAACGCTTTGTGTCCAGATAAAATATAGCGAATTTTGGATTCATTATAAAGAGTTTTCAATCTTTGCCTACATAAACATCAAACCGAAACGTTTTGTTTTGCAGCCCTACCCTTCGCTTTCTGTCCTTATATATGATGCTCTTCTTCATCGTTATTCCGAGTGTTATGTGAAGGTACCTTCAACTCTCACAGTAAAACTAAACTATATTGTAAAATCTTTTAGTGTTTCAACTTATGTCTGTAAGCAATATTAAATCAGAAAAATACAAATTTCGACGGTCCGAAAGAAATTTCACGCAAAAGATGTGAAATCCAATGCTTCTTCTTTAAAACCCCACTAAGTAAAGTGTTCCTTGCATTATTTGGCATTACAAATTGCTTGTGAAAGTATTATGTTTTATAATTAGTTCTTCATCCGTTCATTTTTCTTTTTTCACACGAGTGCAGAAATAATTCAAGTATAGCGATGTAACGCCATGGTTAACTGTTTTGACCCTTCAATCAATTAACAGCTGTCAATGGTCATTGTTTATCGAGTGCTTAACGTTTTAATTCGACCAACCTAACAAAGCAACAATACTCAAGTTGTTGACTGTACAATGATGTTGTTTATCTGCCGAAGTGCTGGTTTAAAAAGAGTTCTGTAAGAAAATAAGCCAGCAGTTGTGTACTGGTGGATTGATGTTCACAGCAGTTCATCTTCCCACACTTTTGACATGTTGAACTACTTCCGTTCCTGATCTAATGGAAAGAGTCACCTCGCATGACCTTTACATAAAGCTGGAGTTAATCAGACCGACAGTCTCGCTTCCGCGCCCAAACAACGTACCGAAACACTACTAGTATATCGTTTTGTCATTATCATTATCTTCACGCGCATCATCTTCATCTGTAGAAATTGTCCTCGTTAAAACAAATTATAGTGAATCTATAGAACGTTTTCAGATAATCCTTGTCATTCCATACATTCCTAAATCAATGGAGCAGTACCACATGCGGTTCAATAGAGACCTATAAAATGATCATTTTGTACCAAGAAACATTTTAGAATTTTTATCATTGCAAGTAATAATTCTAGTTTAAGAAAAGCAGATTTCATGTTACCTACGATTACTGTAATATTATTAGACCAACAGTACTCTGATTTTTCTTTCATTATCATCAAGTCTTCTACGATAAAATTCCGCACGAAAAGACACAAATATGTAATTGGCGTATTTTATTATGCCATTTTTGAAAATATATGTGTGTGTTTCAATGTATATACGAGGATGTGGACAGATATATCCTTTTTCGACAAATATATATTAGTCGTCGATATTTAGAGTCTTCTTGACGAGCATATAGGCCTAAAAAGTGAAAATATATAAATAAATATGATTCATTAATATCTGATACTTAAAGACCTTATGTATTTGACGTGTATTACTTCAAAGTAAGGCATAAAAGTATTTTTTATTAAATTTCAAGATATACACAGTCATATTTGAGGAGTTTGCCCACTTTTGCGTCTCATTAGATAATTGTATACATGCATAAATGTATACAACCTTTTTTCAATCGATATATAGATATATATATACACTTGATTGCACAAAGATTGTAGTATACATTTATAAATATATCTAATGAGATACAAGATATCAAATGAGATGCAGAAAGTAAAAAAGTAACTTATTTGGTCTTATTTATCTTCTATTATATATTAGAGGCATTAGTATTGCACAAAGTGAAGTTTAAAAAGTTTTTTCCACAAAATGTAGTGGCTAAGCAATCGTATTTA